GAAGCATGCTTGGAGTTAGTAACTGGATGGTGTCTGCCCAAGACTAGGACGATGTTTGTAATGCTGAGGAAATAACTGTAACCGGATTGTAATGGTGAGAGATAATAATAATTATTAAATTACAGTTTGCAAATTTTCTCACTTTAACAAGTTTTTATTCATAAATTTATTTTTACATTCAAGTAAAATATTATATGAATCTGATAATTTATTTCTCAAATTTTACAATCCTTGATGGAGTAGGTAGCAAAGGTACATTTTAAAATCCCTATCCGGCTTCACAACAGATAAACCTTCACAACATATGAACCTAATTCAACATTAGTTTGAGGTGAACCATCCAAGACATTAAGTTTAGTCAAGTTCAACTGAACTCACTACTGTTATAACCCTATTTTAAAATAAATAGTTACAAATCATTTAGTTCAAATGATCAAAACATCATTTATTGCAATTTCAAAATCTAGCAATAATACCTTAGAGGCTATACAACAACAGAAAAATAATAATAAAATTGTGGCAAATTTATACTTCAATAAAATTTGAAAAATTTAAATGTGAGTGACATCACAAATGAGAATTAAAATTCTGAAATAAATTAAATTGGATTTTTAATACATAATGTATTACATAAGAACATCTACACCTGTTTCCAATTTGGAAATGGTAGAAGGTGAACTATTTATAAGCTTTAAACTATATTATTTTTTTTCATTATCATCTGATAGCGCTATGGTCCTTGTAAAACCTTGGCCTCCTCTACTATCTTTCTCCAAACCAACCTGTCTTCGGCCGCCCCTCTCCATCTGCCTACACCCAGGCTCCTTAGATCACTATCGACATCTTCCAGCCAACGAGGTATAGGCTTGCCTCTTTTCCTTCTTCCACCCGGATATTCCTCCGTCATAATTGAAGGATCATGTTCCATTCTTTGCACAGGACCCAATCATCTTATCCTCCTCCTTTTTATGGTGGATATAATGTCTGGGGCATTATATAGCTTCTTCAGCTCGGACTTTCTTACAAGTCCAGCTTTTTTTGCAGATTCTTCACACTGCTCGAAGGCTCCTAAGAGTATATTGGATGTGCTTCCTGCAACGACTATGTCATTCGCAAACACAAGGTGTTGAGCCATTCTGTTATAAATACATCCTCCTGACCTTGTGCGGATCGATCTCTTGACTACTTCTAATACTAAACTACCCGTGCAAGTAGGTTAAATACGTCACCAGTGAGTGGATCTCTTATTAATTACTATACTTTAAATAATAAATACTTCTTTAAAGAACGAAGTAACAATAAAAGTTTTATAAAATAACTATAAACATACAACAAAATGCCAATAGAAACGGAGGAAGTCACCCTTCAATCAATAATGATGGAAATTCGTAATAACAAATGTAACGAAACTAAAATAATAAAAGAAGCAGTTGAAAAAATGAATACCCTTTTTGAAAATGTTTTATCAGAACTGAAAAGTGTTAAGAATAAGACAGCTGAGCTTGAAAAGGTTAACCAGAATTTAAAAGAAAGATTAAAACATTTGGAGAATAAAGATGGAAAAAATAATTTAATGTGTTCGAAAAGAATGACTCTAATACAGAAAATATATTAGGTGTTGTGAACTCAATATTTTTGAATGTAGGGATTGAATTACTAGAAAACTCAATAAATAACTGTTATAGGTTGGGTAAAAAGTCTAATGATAAAACTAGACCAATCTCAATTTCTCTAAATAGTTACCTATTAAAACAAGAATTGATGAAAACAAAAAGAAACATTCAGAGAAAACAAAATTGTTACCAAACAAGATTAAACACCTGAGGAAAGAGAAGAAGGAAAACAAATTTACATTTATCCCAAGAGACAAGTTCGACAGTACTGTAACTTACAAACATAAGTTTTTCTATATAAATCAAAATAAATTCCATATATCAGATATCGAAGACCTTTTGGTAAGTTTCGGTGAATGAAGACTATCACCGAATTCATCACCAGCTCAAGCTAGCAAACGAAAAAAAACTAAATAACAAATTAGAGCAGTTTCGATTTCGTGAAAGAAGGCCTTCAAATCAAAATTGATGAACCAATAAAAGATCTTTTAGGTCAGGCAAAACAAAAGAATTATGATAAGTTTTCTCTACTTGGAAATTTTAATATAGTTGTAGTATAGGAAAGATAACAGAAAATGCATCTTATTTGGACAGCTCAAATCTTATGGAACTATTGAACCTACTAATAGTATTAAATCTTCTAGGACGTCAAAACGCGATGTAATTCATGGGGAATAAACCAAGATATATAAACAAAAAGGACTTCCAGGAAGCCGGGATTATAAGGAAGATGAGCGACTAGGGGATATTAATATGTCATCCCCACCACCTCCCAGTCTACAGCACGCCTCTAGGCTAAATGTAAATGATAATACTGTTAATTTAAAAATAGTATCATATAATATTAACATCATATAATCATATAATTATATAAAGAATTTTAAAATTATTATATTATTAGAAAAAATTTGTAGAGGAAAGGGACGAATTACTTATAACGAAATGTTCACACTATTTAAAAATTATAAATTATCGTGGATATGTGCTATCCAAAATGTAAAATATGGTCACACTAGTGGGGGAATTTTAATGGGGATTAAATTAGATATACTAGAAAAACAAAATATTAACAGTAATGATATCATTTTGACTCCAGTATACCTTAACAGAGCTGAATTAAATAAATGGGAGTATGGTTATTCGGAGATTTATAACCTTTTATTGGAAAATAATGATAAAAATTTCATCTTAACCGGTGATTTCAACGGTCACAACAAATTATAAAATATTTATTAAATGAGAATACAATAATTAAATATAAGCATAGAAATAGTAAAGATCAATCAATAGATAAAAAGGGGGAAAAATAATAAAATTGTTCACGATCTGTGGTTTAATAGTGCTTAATTGTAGAACAAAAAACGTCGAACTTGGCGAATTCACATATATTGGTAAGAGAGGTCAGTCTGATTGATTACTGTTGTGTTTCAGAAAATATTCTACCTATTATAAAATATTTTAAGGTAGAACCGCAAATATTTTATAATAGCCCCTAGTAACCTATTTGGAATTGAATAACGAACGAAAACAATCAATAAGACATGCTAAATTATTGCCTAAATTAAGGTGGCTAGAAAAAAATAAAATAAAGTATCATGAAAAATTAGAAAATAGTGTACAAAAAACATTGCTATAGATTCACCTTTTGATACGATCAAATATATTACAAAATAATTAAAACTGCTGCGGGAAATTTCAATTATCAAAAAAATAACTTTAAAACTAACAAAAATAAATGGTATGATAAAGAATGCAGCAAAATTAGAATAGTGTTTGGGTTATTAAACTCTTACCGTAAAACAAATGATATAGATGACAAAGTAGTTTATATAGATGCGAATAAAAAATATAAAGACCTATGTGAGAAAAAAATAAAAGAATATATGGAAAATATTATTGAAAAACTTCAATCGTTACTAATATGGAACAATTCTGGGAACATGTAAATAAATTTAGGAACAAAAATTTAACATTGAGAAAATATTTCATGTGAAGAATGGATCACTTTCGAGATTCGTATAATAAGCCTTTAATGGAACAATCTATACAATACATACGCTGCACCCTTAGTTGAAAACGATTCTTTAGATAATTCATTTACTCTGGCAGAACTAAATGAAGTTTTGCATAAGGCTAAGGTAAATAAAGCACCAGATACTGACCGTATTCCGGTTGAGTTTTATAAATATGCACCAATAAATTTTTTGGAGTGTGTGTTGAATAAATTTAATAAAATTTTTAATTCAGCTAAGATATCCAATAGTTTTAAAAGTTCAATTATATTCCCCATATATAAAGCAGGTAATATTAATAATGTTACAAATTATAGGGGCATATCATTCGACAACTTGATTGAGAAAATTTTTACAGTGTTGATAAACCTAGGATTAATAAATTGGGCAAATGAATTTAATATAATAAGTGAATGCCAGGCAGGTTTCCATAAAAAATATTCAACCATTGATAATATATTTAATCTCATTAATATCGTAACTTTGAATTTAAATATTAAAAAGAGAAAGTCTATGCATTCTTTGTAGATTTCTCATCAGCATTTGACAATGTGAACAGAAACACACTTTTTAATAAACTATATGAACTAGGAGTTTCCTCAAAGATTATAAATTTAATAAATGCATTGTATGATGATACTGAAGGCTCAATATGGATGTGTTATGAATTAATGAACAGTTTTAAAACAGAGAGAGGACTAAAACAGGGATGTATTATGAGTTCATTTTTGTTTTCCTGCTATATCAATGATTTAGAGAATTGTTTGGGGGTGGATTATCTATTAATAACAAAAGAATTAAAATGCTAGCATATGCAGATGACATCATAATTTTGGCCACAAGCCCTGTAGTACTTCAAGATATGATATATAATTTGGAAATATATTGTAGGACGTGGAATTTAAATATAAATAAATCTATCTATGTATATCTAAATGATATTTATAAAACGAGGGAAACTGGCGAAAAATGGAAATTTAATAAACAAACTATACAGATAGTAAACTGTTTTAAGTATTTAGGGATATTATTAACGCCAAATTTATCAATAGCATTTTCAACATTCAAGTAAGCATTTTCAGCAAACAGTTTCTAAAACAATGATCAGTATTAATGCTATATGGAAGAAGCTATTTACTTATAATAAAATAAATTTGAATACAAAACTTAAAGTTTTGGCAGTTCAGAATTTGAAAATACTTTTCACTAATGTGAATAGTAATTATTTCTCTTTATAAGTGAAGTTTTTGCAGAAGTGCAAATATTCTTAATAAATTATACAATTAAATTGTTTAAATAACTTGTCTAATATAATCATTTTGAAAAACAAGAAATAAAGCAATAAACTTTAAAATAAATAAAAAGTATAGCTGACCTGAACTGCATGCCAAAAGATCAGTAGGACAGGTTCGGTTAGCACACATTATTTGTTTTTCATCAGAACCATCAGGGCAGTCCTCAGATCCATCACAAATCCATACTTGGGGGATACATTTTCTACCACCACATTGAAACTAAAACATATTTAACCATGAAAGCAAAGAAAAAATAGTACAAATAAATAGCCCTGAAATTTTAAATTTAATAGTGCTTAAGCTCAAATGAGTTAATATATCTAATAGTAAAAAAAATTTAAAGCAACTATGTACACTTTCTATAATATGGAATAATAACCATATTAAATAACAGAAATGTCTTTAGTGCTAAATGAATGTCATAGTTTAAATTATAAATATCATGTAATTGTTAATTGTTTAATTGCGAAAGTATTCAACTCTGTTGACCATAGATCTGTTCAGAGCAAACAAAGAATTACTTGAATAGATATAACAGTGAGCGTTTCACTAAGCCTATGATGGTTATAATTAGTATTATCAAGATGGGTTGGAAACACGGTCAGAAATAATGCAGCAATGAAACATACTATTTAATGGTTATCTACAATCACTATTTATCCACCATTATACTAGTGCCAATTTAAGTTAGAAGCCTTCGTCAGAGATAAGAGAAACAAAATACAAAAATAACAGAAATAATAAGATATCTAATGGAATTAAGTGCAAGAATATATATATTTTGTAATAACTCCTATTTTTACTAATAATAAAACTTCTGGAAGATCACTTCATATTATAGCGATATTTCCAAAAGAAATAAAAGGTTGTTAGCGATGGTTTCGCCAGGACTCTCTAGCTCGTCAACGGAAGAGACGCTAATTTAAAACCCTTTTTTATTCTCTGGAATAGGATAAAGACTACCATGTCTCACTATAACATAATAAGCGGCCTGCCCTAACATGATCGAGGACCATAAAACTCGTATTCTAGAATGAGTAGTGTTAAGTTCCATCTTGGTTTAAATTAACCTTCGGATGAAGCTTAACTAATATTTAAATATTTAATATTTATATAAATATGAAATATTTAATAAAGAAATGATGTTAGCTTACAAAAACAAAATAGAGAAATGATACAACTGGCCCAATATTAAAATCAATAATAGAGACTAAAACAAATATTAATAGCCCAAAAATAAAATTTATACAAAAACAAAAAAATAATAAATTGGTATAACGTTATGTGGACACAAGCAGGTGATGTTCATAATGGTGGATGAACCGCTGGTACTCCAATCCTTATACAGTGACTTGATGTAAATTTATTCATAAGCGCTCTGGAGTAAGACTGTGTACTGCGAAGTCCAAGGGCTTAGGACTTGAACCTACGACTTATTTATAGCTACAGCTACAATCCATAACAATTTATGTATAAACTATTAACCAGTCTATATCGAATATAAACAATATAAGCTATGGGTCTATGAATATATATAATTAATAATTGATTTCATTTTTATGAAATAAACTCATCCATTAAATAAATTATTATTTAAATAAAATAAAATAAATGAACACTGTGGTGTTAACAAGTAGGGTGACTGGTAGTCCATTACACTCAAAATTATACTTAGTGAGTCCATGGAACAACTCTTATACGACGATATAATCCTGTTCTTTCCTTACTAAAGTCATCGAACTTTCCTAACTTATCTTTGAATCGTAGAGTCGCCTTTCCTAGAATTAAAGGAATTTCTTGGCTAAAATAACTACCATACTTTTCTCTGCTGGATTTTACTCCTTTGAACTTGATTTGAAACTTGAGAAATTCTTTCTTGGTATCTATAAGATTAACTGTATGAGTTTCTACTGGAACTTCTTCTGTCATTAATTTTTCTTCAAGAGTCTCTTTTTCTTTTCTTAAGAGATTTTTTGATCCAACATCAATTGAAGAATTAATTTTGCTAAGCTCTTCAGTAACAGTTTGCTTCACATCACTTTCTGAGTGACCAAAAGAAGTTCTCTCAGCCAATGTAGTTTCTTGAACTTCAGTTATATTTGCAATAATTATTGTTTCAAAATTTCCTGTTTATTATTAGATTCTATTTTTTTGTTTAAATTATCAAATTGTTTTTTGTTTATTATGAAGCATAGCCATTACTTGTTCAAACATATTATTAGTATCAGTATAATTCAAATTGTTGCTACTATTTATATTTATTTTTTCACCCTCTACATTATTTTCACTAAACTCATGACCTACATTTAATCCCGACTGATTTTTACTGCTGTTAAAATTTTTTGATTGTCTATTCAATTAAGCTTTGTACAACTGACTCTTCCTCATTTTCTACAATAACACAACATCCCCATAAGATTTCCCATAGAATATATTATTAAGGTCTCTACCTTTCATCATCTCTCTCTCTGGTTATTCTCCATATTACTCAAAAATTATTAATAAAAACATATACAATTAAAACAAAATGTTTATTTGAGTTGTGATCTGATTGCCGTGATCAAATTTTTAAAGAATAAAAACACACATAGTTGAGCACCAAAATGTAATATCTCTTAAATTTTTAATAATAATAATACCTTGAAAGATCACTTCATACTGTTGGGGTAGTTCCTAAATAAACAAGAGGTTGTTAAATAATAACCACAATTATAAGAATATTGATAGATTAAACTGAACTTTATAATTATTTTATCTCAGGTATGGGTTACTAACAATCAGATCAAAAGACTCAGACAGAATAACATTAACTAAACTAAACACTGTTTGATTTTAAAATAAAGTCAAGTATGAACTAACAATCTAACCTATTAATACTGTTTCTTCTTTGTGTCACTGAATTCATTTGTCTTCAAATGCTTTCCAATGTTCTGCCAAACATAACTCCTAAAATCGTGACACTTTTATCTACTCAACTCAAGCTGCCTGGGAGATCCTCTCTCTTGTGATTTCAAACAACAACTCCTAAGATGGTAATATTATTACTGGGTTTTACACACTGGAGCCAGATCTCTTTTCACTTCCTCTCTTCACCCCAGGCAAACACCAACTGCTTGCCAAAACAAAATCCTTTGTCCGCTCCCTCTTTGGGATTTTACCTTTTGGGGATACTACAGAGCAGCTATTTTCTTTTTACTGAACTAGTAGAACTAGATTAGCTTGCCTTTTAACTGTTCAACATTAATTTATTAAACCATTTTTACCAACTTCTAATTAAGGTGAATATTACAACATGTATATATATATATATATATATATATATATATATATATATATATATATATATATATATATATATATATATATATATATATATATACACTAGGGGGTATCCCCTACTATACATTTAAAGTAGCCTAACGGCAGACCAATACCCATTTTAAAAATTATACAACTGTTCATTTAACTTTACTAGTCGTTGCTCAAATTGTATAACTGTAATTTACATGTATTCTGTAGTAAAGATTGTGTTCTTTATTATAAACATGAAATAAACAGTTTAGACAAATTTTTAATTTATTTAAAAATCTATATTATATACTGCACCTTATGGCCAATTTATATAATTATAATTATTCTTATTGCCAATTTCTAACTATAATAAGAGAGAAATAATAAGAAGTATAGTGTCTTCGTTGTGGTCCGTCCTGCTTTGTATGTGTAAAATAAAATATGACAGTCAATAAAAACTTTTTAAGTATGCGCATAAGTTGAAAATAGAAGAAAATTAATAAAAGCAATTCTTTCCATCATATGTTATTTATTTAAACATCAATACCACTTTTATTAATTTCAAATAAAAAGTGTATTCAGGCAATTATGTTTATGATAATGTATCCCAGATCATTGAAAAACAAGAAATGAAAGCTTAGCAACAATTAATTGTGGTAATTTTTTATAAAAACAGGTAAATAGGTGGTAAGTTTTGCTGAAAATTTACTTCAAATGAATATAGATTTTATTATTGTTAAAACTATTTTTAAAAAAGTTTGAGCAGCTACTAAGGTAATTTCTGTTTTAAAAAAAAAATGTATAAATTATTCGTGATTTTTTTTTATAATCATCCAACTATACTATAGATACCCAACTTTAAAAAAAACTTCTTTGTTTAATAAGCTTTTAAGTACATATTAATTAAGTTGAGGTTTATTAGACAAAAACTTGAGATTCATCTCAAGTTGTGTAAAAAATGATATGATTTTTTATCCTGTCACCTAAAATAACAAATGTTTTCAGCAAAAATGATTACAATTAACTCTTGCAAAGCTTTTATTTCTCTTTTTTCCATAATCTGAGATGTATTATAATAAAAAAAATTATCTAAATACTCTTTTTATTAACAAAAATAAAAAATTTAAAAATTGGGATTTTTATGTAAAGTGGTTATGCAAACTGTTTTTCTCATAGAAGTTGATCAGTATTTATAAGTGTCAAACTTAATGTTTCTAGTCCTAATATTTACATTTAAAATAAAGAAACATGCTGATTACATTAATTATTCAATAAAAACTTAAATATTGGGACTAGAAATATTAAGTTTATCACTTATAAATAAGGATCAATCTCTCAGACAGAGATCTGAGTGAAAACACAGTTTCATAACCACTTTACATGAAAAATATTTGAAAAATCATTATTTTAATTTTGTTTATATAAATAAAAAGTATTAAGGGAATTATGTTTATTATAATACATCCCAGATCATGGAAAAACAAGAAATAAATGCTTTGAAACAGTTATTTATTTATTTAGTTGTATTCGGGTGTCATGTGAGACTACATAGCTTAGAGGCACCTTATTCAGTTTCCATATCCATTTCAATTACATAATCAAAAGAAAAATGTCTGTAAAAAATTGTATTGTTTCAGGTGAGATTGTGTTGTTAAGATATATCTACATATAATCAGATGTTACAATTGCATAGGTTAGTTCTGATGTAGATGGAAGGTATATAAGGGTTGTGTTGTTTAAATACGTCAGTAATAATTGCGATGTTTAAGAAATTTGAACAAATTTTTCACGTTTTTTAATTGTAGCGCTTGTCGATATTCTCATAGGCGATACAATTTTCTTGCTTGAACAATTTACTAGAATATGTTGAGTTGTTAAAGGTATGTTGCAGCTGCGAGATCTTGGTGGAGAATTCCCATCGAGGAGGTGACCATGAGTAAACCTCATGTGCCCTATTATGAGGCATGTTTAATAGTTTGCTCCCTGTGCTTCCTTTAATCTATGGGAATGGACTAATGTCATCATAGATGAACCTCATTTTATTGGTGCTTGGAACCTTGGTCCAATCATAATGCCAATCTTCTTTACATAGGCTCCATACTGCTTTATTAAAGTCATTCAGCACTGTGTTAATTTCAGCAACTGGAAATAAGGTGGATGCTTCTTATGCTGCAGTATCTGCAAGTTCATTTCCCGTTATACCTACAGGGCTTGGGACCCAGAGAAATTTTATATATATATATTTTTTTTTTAATGAGTAGTGTGATAGAGAACACCAAAGGGTTTCTGCAGAATTAGAATATTAATGGAATCAGAATTTAAATTACAATTACAATTATTATAAATTTCATCATTTATGATTATGGTTAGGGATAAATAGATGGCAAAGAGCTCAGAGGAGAAGAGAGAATAAGTGGAAGGGAGATAGTAATGCATAGTCACGGCAGGCAGTACTATCGAACATCCCACATTTTCTATTTTTTTTGATCCATCAGTATAAATGCAGGTGAAATCTTTGTAACAATTCAGGAGATTCAAGGATCGTGTAGTTGTGTTTTGTTTTTAACGAGAAATCAACACTTGCTTAATGTTTGTTCAAAAAGGTAAGAGATTTGTGGTAGTTTTAAATAACTTTGGTAGTGTGGTAGTGGTAGTGGTAGTGGCAATTAAATAAATAAGTGTGGTAGTGACTGGAATCAGAACTTAGTGGATAGTTAAAAAGTCGAGTAAGTAAATTGTACTATAAGTTATCAAAAAAGTCCATAGTCGTTTTTAAGTGGCCTAAAAGCATTAACAGAAGATAGTGTCTGTGAAATTCTAGTGGCCACTTACCAGCCTCCCAGAACAGACTGTTAATAGAACTATCCTGAAAGCTCCGGTTGCTCGACGAATCATTGTATGGTGAACTGGATCTAGTTTGCTTAGTATTTTCTTTGAAGCATCCCTATAAACTTCACATCCATAGTCAATCACCAGTATTATTAAACACCTATATAACTTTAACAATGAAAGTCTATCTCAACTGTAAGTAGAATACTTTAATTAAGTTGCATTTCTCAAATAATTTGGACAATAACATTTGGATCTATAATTTCCATGATAATCCTGAGTCCAAGGCAGTGGCGGATCCAGAGATTCTATCAGGGGGAGGGCGCACCTCTGTACCAGGTGCTTCCCCCCCTACCCGTTCCCTCACCATTATCCATCTCGCCCGAACTCCTTAGCTGAGTTCAGCCGCGGAAAAGTCCTCTTTAAATGGTTTTAACAAAAGCAAATTCTATTTTTATTTAAAGTAAATTTTGTCTAATTTACAGTGACGCAATTGTTAATTACTTAAATTAAATAGTTTTTTTTTTTGTTATCACTTCCCATTCAACAAAAACCGTGACTTACATAAAAATATCACAAATCTTTAATTCTTTATTTTCCTGCTGAAAATTGAACCATTGTTTATATAAACATTTTTGTATTTATTGAGTTCTGTTATCACTCATTGAGTTCTGTTATCTTCAAATATTTCCTTCTGCTTATGAGACACCTTGTGTATGGGTTTAGACATGTAAAAAACTAAATTGCTAACACGGGTTACCAAGAGAAAACTTTTTGCAGCCAAAAAATCCAGATTTATCTGTTATTTTTTTTTTCATGTATTACTACAAATGAGTGCATTAAAGCAAAAAAATGTATTCTTTACGAAATTAAAGAATGCCAAATTGTGTGTCGAACGAATACGTAAACTCAATAATTTGATTGATATGGTAGATAACCACAGGCAATGAACGTTAATTTTTACCAACATTGTTAAAATCTGAGAAAGATTACTATAAATGGTCCTGCAGCCTGGAAATGAGTTCTTTATGAAAAAAAAACTCAGAAGAATTTCCGATTCCCATCAAATCAGAGAACAAATAATTAGTACCTTCCTTCATGAAAACGTTCCCAACAGCAGCTATTTTAAGAAAATAACAACACTTTCTAATGAGAAATATACAAATTATTATTGTGACCAGTTCTATGAATCGCATGGATTCTTCAAGGAGGCTATAGTAGATGGAGGTTGAAATGCTATTGGAAATGAATAAAAACTGGGTCAGGAAGAAAACCCATATTTCCTCGTGATCGAATTAAAGGTTGTTCGAAAGAATAAATGAAATTCAATTTTTTTTTTTAATAGATTTTCCTCCATTGTGTCCATTTCACCAGCAAGACTCAATGGGTTCGGAGTCAATGGGAACTGCGACAGGAGCACAAGCCTTCTCATCATCTCACGGTGATCCAAAAACTACATCACTCTTTTTTTTAAATAGCTGCTTTTTTGAACTTTTTCAGAATTTTTCATTCATCATCCAGGGGGAGGGTCGCCCCCTTGCAAAATTCACTAGTGCTGTTCACGATAATAATTTTTTTTATATATTACATTAGAAAATTCGTCTATGAGGATGAATTTTTCCTATATTTCTCTTTTTATTAAACAGCTGTTTAAAATATTAGTTTTCGAAAGGAAGATCCTTCGGAGAATATTTGGCCCAGTTAAAGAGAATAATGGTGAATGGAGAATTATACACAACCAAGAACTAGCTAGCTTACTATATAGCTAAGTTATACAAGGAGACAGATGTGGTAAAATATAGCCAGATAACAAGGCTGAGATGGGACCAATGTGGATGGACCAAGTTGTATGGATGGACAAATCCTCAATCCCAAAGAAGCTGCTGAGCATGGAGCCGGGTGGAAAAAGAAAAGTGGGCAGACCGAAACTGAGATGGAAAATGGAGTAAGTGCTGATGCCATAATCCATGCAATCAGGAACTGGTGGAGGCTGCTCAGGACAGGGAAACATGGAGAAAAACTCTTGAGGTAGCCAAGATCCAGTAATGGATTACCAAGCTCGGGATGATGATATTAATCTTATTAGAAAATTCGTCTTAAAGGATGATTTTTTCCTATATTTCTCTTTTCTTTAAATAACTGTTTTTTGGATATTTTTTTCAGAATTATTCTACTATCCAGAGGGGAGCGTGTCCCCTGGCAGAAATCACTAGTGCTAGTCACGATAATAACTTTTTTTTATATCACATTACAAAATTAGTCTATGAGGATGAATTTTTCCTAATTTCTCTTTTCTTTAAATAGCTGTTTTTTGGAACTTCCTCCCCCCCCCCCCATTATCCAGGGAAGAGAAGGGCACGCCCCCTGGCTGGATCCACTAGTACTGGTCACGATAATAATTTTTATTCATATCAGAAAATAAGACTTCGAGGATGAATTTTTTCTATATTTCTCTTTTCTTTATATAGGTGTTATTTGGAATTTTTTTTCCACCAACCAAGGGAGGGCACGCCCGCTAGCAGAATTCGGTAGTGCTGGTCGGGATGATAATTTTTTTTTAATATTATGTTAGGAAATTCGTGTACGAGGATGAATTTTCCCTATATTCCTCTTTTCTTTAAATAGCTGTTTTTTAGAACTTTCCCCCCATTGTCCAGGGAAGAAAGGGGAGTGCCCCTGGCAGAATTCGCTAGTACTGGTCAGGATAATAATTTGTTTTATATTACATTAGGAAATCCCTGTATGAGAATGAATTTTCTTTATATTTCTCTTTTCTTTAAATAGGTGTTTTTTTGGAATTTGTTTGCAGCATCCAAGGGATCCAGCACCTCCTGAGAGATTTCGCTAGTGCTGGTCAGCAAAATAATTTTTTTTTATACTACATTAGGAAATTTGTGAATGAGGGTGAATTTTCTCTTATATTTAAATAGGTGTTTTTTGTCACTTTTTTCAGACTTTTTTTTCCGGGATCTAAGGGAGGACGAATTCGCTAATGCTGGTCACAATAATAATTTTTTTTTATAATACATTAGGAAATTCATTGTCTATGAGGATGAATTTTCACTATATTTCTCTTTTCTTTAAATAGATGCTTTTTGGAACTTTTTTTTCCAGCTTTCAGGGGAAGGAGCACGTTCCCCGGCTGGATCTGCCAGTGTCCAAGGTCACTCCTAGGTATCGATTAGAATCTAGTTTATTTAAAGGTCGATTTCCAAGATGCCCTATAAATGGTTGGCTACATCTGCGAATTCAACAAAAATGGATTGCCATTGATTAGAAAAGGCTAAAGCTGAAGCCACATCTAATGGCCCAGTTTTCTAGGCCTGTAGGAGTTTCCTGTATCACGGATTGTCCAAAGTTTACATCTTTAGATTTTAGAAACAAATTGAATTTGAAGAAAAGATTGTTAATTAAGAATTCCTAAATCTACATTGTTCACTGTCTAGTAGATGACGAGTTTCCAATTCCCATAATAGCCGGCACTTAATTACTTTTTTAGGCAATTTACAGAGAACTGAAGTGAGAGAGATGGGCCCATAACTTTGTATAAGTTCGGGTTATTTATTGGCCTTTAGTAAAGGAATTACTGTTGCAGATGACCAACTTTTAGGAAAGTCCCTATTATTCCACATGTTATTGAGAAGTGATTAATAACAGGTCCATTACATTTGGAGGTAAGTGCTTTATAAATTCTATATGAACCTGATCTGGGCCTGGCGATTTGGATCGAGATGTTCTTATGCTTTGTTGTAGTTCATCCAATGTGAAAGGTAATTTGTACGGTTTAGTATCAAGATTAGAATCAAGAGAGCACTGAATTTGATGGTGTGACTAAGTTTTTTATGAGTACTCTCTCATAAGTACCTTTAAATATACACATAAAGTTTTTTAAATAAACATAAAGATGATAATATAAGATGACATAAAATTGAAATACTCACATGATCTGGAGAGCAAGTAACCTCCTGACAATTATCTTCATCTTGACCCAAGGGGCAGTCCAATCTTCCATCACATTGTTTTTGTCGAAGAATACATTTGTCCTTAACTGTATTATTACCCACACATTTAAATTGGGAATTAAGACAGGGATACTTTTCACAATTCTTCTCATCAGAATTGTCTCCACAATCGTCTTCACCATTGCAAACCTGTCCTGGGTGGATACATTTTCCACTGTTGCACATATGCTGGCCAGGGACACATTTAAATGTTGGACAATCATCGGGTTCATCAGAAAAATCTCCACAATCATTCTACAATAGTTTTAAACTATAATAGTTTAAAATTTCAAAAATAGATTTTTATTTTAAACATAAATTGTTTGAAAAAATATTTTGGTAATGATAAGATAAAAATAATGATATTTAGTTTTGATAAATTACTCTGCACAGAAAGATTTTTTTTAGGTTTCTTTAAGGTTTGAAAAAAATAAATCTTCCTCCTGGAGTAATTATTTCATTACTTATATATTCTACTAATATATTCAATGTTTAAGGACCTGCCCCGTCTTCAGGAATATTCTTTTTTTCTTTATATTCCTAAATATTGTCATATATGTCTCATCCAAAACTTGTTAGGATCCAAGAAATATTAGGATGGTCCTAAATAGTAAGAAAGAAAGAAAGAAAGTGAATTTCATTCTGGGACATTTAGTCCCCTCAGAATAACTATAATGAACATCGAAATGACTATTGTCTGGCATTGGAATACAATTAAAAATAATAAGCAATACTGGACATACATAGATATATGCAAGATATCAGTAAAATATGAATGACATCTCTAAAATACAAAATAACAGTATTTTTACAAATATTCGGAAGATTAATTACTGAGATGATGGAAAAATAAATAGGGTTTAAATGAGGTCAAGAATGCGGATTTCCATAAAGAGGTTGGTGGGGAATTCCAAAACGAGGTAGCATGTATGACGAAGGATTTTTTAAAGGAAACAGTTCTATGAGAAGGAATAAACAGATTTGAGGATTGGGATCTCGTGTTGAACAAATAACCAGAGGAACAAGGAGTAAAGAAATCAAGAAGGTAAGGTTTTTTTTTGTTTTTAAGGTTCAGAAAAGGAATATACCAAGAAAATATTGTCATCAGAAAACTGGATAGCGCCACTTCAACATAGGATAGCAAATTGAGACATGGGAGCGCCTGGAGACGCCAAGGATAAATCTAATGAAACAATTCATCAGTCTATTTAATCTAATCTCAAGCCCACCAGACAGTCCACCCTATAAAAGACTGCCATAATCAAAGTAAGGGACTATGAGAGAGGTTTCAGAAGTGTGGAAAGGTATGGGTATTCCATTTAGGTAGAGTAGAGGATAATAAGGAATGAGATTAATCAGATGCTTGGAACCAATGAGAATGGCTTTGGTCTTCTCAACATTCAACATTAAATCATTGCTCACTGCCCAAGTATTAATACTGTCAAGATCATCTGGAAGCCTTCGGATCACCTCAAGCATCTAGGTAAGATGGAGGGAAAGATAAATTTGAAAAATCTAAGAGAACTAGGATAGAGATTTTCTGTTTATCTATAGAGAGATAAAGGTCATGGGAAATTTTCAGCAAAGCAGATCGGGTGGATAACAGGGATCGGAAACCAGACCAACAGAACAGATGTAAAAATATTAGAAAAATGACCACATAACAAATTATGGATGGCATATATATGAAAATATTTAGAAACAAAAGGAAAAAAAGAATACCTCGTTACATAATAACTTACATTGAATATGGTAGCAGAATATATAAGTAATGAAATAATTACTCCTGGAGGAAGATTTAATTTTTTCGCTAACCTTAAATAAACTAAATAGATTAATAAATATTTAAATATAAATAATAAATTATAGCATAAATAATTAAAAATGACAAATTTATACAAAATTCAAACTTAGTCCTGAGGGCCAATAATAATGGTGTTGAGAGCATTATTAATATAAATATTTATTTTAAACATGAAATAGTTTGAACAAATATTTTAGTAATATTTAATTTTTTTTTTTAAATTGATCAATATTTAAGTAACCATAAATGGGAGAGTAGCCATTTTCTTTTCCATGCACTAGTAGAACTAGATTACCTTGCATTTTAATTGTTCAACATTAATTTATTAAATCATTTTTACCCACTTCAAATAAAGGTGTATATTACAATATACCCACTCCCAAATTATCCAATTGTCTTATAATCAACAATTGTCTGGTTCTCGCCAGTTGATGATCATATCATTTGATCACGAAATCTTAGTTTCGTGTAACATATTGTAACTTTACAAAATAATTTGCATATCTTTTGCCACCTTAACAAGCTTCTCTGTCTCTGCCTGTCTTGGGCTGTTTCTTTCCAGATATTTCCAGGAATTCCAGTTGATTCTATCTATTCATCTGCTTTTTGGCATTCCATATGATCTTTGCCCTTCTATTGAGATATTCATTGTTACGTTAATTCTTATATAGAGGCTTCCAGATGGATTGCTACTGCTACATGGCCCACCCATCTTAACCTCTGTGTCTTCATATCATGGGATATTGGTTGACCAGGTTCTGCAAGCAGTTCTTGGTCTTTCTTTTCCATATGTCAGTACTCTGATCCCAGCTCACTCCGGTTATCGTGCGGAGGATTTTCCACTCAAATCTTTCAATAGTTTTTATAGGATGCTGGTTAGTGTTCAGGTCTCACAGCCATATATTAGAACTGGCTTTATTATCATAGCATTGTAAATCCTTAATTTGAGGTTTCTTGAGATTTTTCAGAATTTCAATACCTTTGAAAGGGAGAATAAAGCTCTGTTTGCGCTAGTTATACGCTGGTCGATTTCTGATCAATTGAAAAATTGTTCCCAAGATTTTTTTTTTTTTTAAATTATTCAACGGGATATTAAGCGGGTTTTTTTTTTATATTTGATTAAATTAATTAAATTAGGTTCTCTTAGAAATGCCTTAAGTGCCCTTGTTCTATTCTTAATAGCTAGCTTACATTCATTGTAATACCAAGGAACACTTCTATTTGAAATAATACTATTAGAACTTTTGGGAATGGACAGTTCTGCTGCTGCCAAGATCAATGAGGTGGTTAGGTGATAAATCTCATTACTATTTTTAGTTGGTAACATATCTGATTTCGCTATTACTACATTATTCTGAAACATTGCCCAGTCGGATTATTCTGTGATCCACTTAGGATGCTTCGTGATTCGGAAGTAGGAAACTAATGATTAAGAAAAAATGATGACTTGAATATGTTGGCTGGCCTGTGTTTAGGATTATAGATTTGGTGCTATCTATGATTCGCATAATAATATTCCCACAAGTTGAACAATGTCAAGAACTCCAAGTGTTGTGATGGTCATTCACATCACTCATAATGATGTATGGAGAGGGAAGGGAGTTTCAAAAATCAAGAAAATCTAGTTCCACTAAATTTCCAGGGGGAAGATAAATATTACAGAGGAAGAGTGGGAAGTGAAGGAAAACCTTAACCACAATAGCCTGCAGAGGAATATCAATTGCAATCAACTCAGATACGATGCTCTTATATACAACTACAAGGACCCCACCACTTGCTAGCTTATTGTCTCCAAAAACTTTCCTGTAAATATCTTATTCTCTCAAGTTAAACTTTTTGTTGAAAAGTAGCATAATTTCTTGAATACAGATGATTATTGGATGATATTTAGTAATTAAAAGTTTCATTTCTTCATATTTTCAAATTAGACCATTACTATTCCACTGAATAGTATCATGTAGGGGAACCATAATGTAAAAAAAGAAGATTTAGATAAATTTAAAAGTAAAAGACAAAAACAAGTAAAAATACCTAAATAATTGATTAAAATTAAAAAAGAAGAAAGTATAATTAAAAGCATAATAATAAAGCATTATTGAAGGAAGTTAGTCGACTGTTCGACATATTATGGCTCATAAATATTCAGGATGCAGTCATTATAAGGTTTTTATTAGTGCCAACGTTCCAACCCAAATATGTGGGTCATCATCAGGGCGTGGTTCGAGCACTAAAGATATTCAAGTACTGTAGCGTTCTCGAACCACGCCCTGATGATGACCCACATGTTTGGGCTGAAACGTCGGCACTAATAAAAACCTTATGATGACTGCGTCCTGAATATTTATCACCCATAATAAAGAATTAATTAAGTTTTAAATTAGTGGAAACACTGTCTCTTTATTTTGCTTTCAATTAGGATATTTCTTCCATGTTTTACTCCTGGTTCTCTTTTCTTTAACTGTGTTGGGTAATCGGGTAGAGAGAGAGAAAGAGAGATGACTTCATTAGAAGTCGTTTTTTTCTGAAGAAGATTTGGATATGAAGGAAGCATCTTTGTGGTAGGGGTAGCTTCCATGGTTTTGGGGGTTGTTCCAGTCGAGGGCTGGGTTAGCAGATTATTGGTAGATGATGAGCAGAGGCTGTATGGATAGAAGGAGAGGGATATGAGGATGGGGAAGAAATGGGATGAGACATAGGGAGGAGGGGAGGTAGAGATAGGGGAGAATCGTAGTGGAGGTACCGCTCATGTTATTCATTTTAGGACAGTTGATAAATGTAGGTGTATTAGAGTTGATTGCTTTGATCGGCTTCTTGAATGTAACTATATTATCATTTAAATCGTCAGTCTGTAGGTAAACATTTTTTTCTATTTTTAACAACATTAGAAAATGTCATTTGGGTTAATAATGGATGTAATCGAACATATATATATATTTTTTTTTTTTTTGCAGCAATGTATGTTATTTTTTCTGCTTCCTGAATATCTTTTATTTCTTTTTCTTTAACATATATTGGACATTTTTTTAAAAAAAGAATAGTCTTTACTTCTTGAGATCTAAACACAAACCCAAATAGTAAATTTATTTTTTTAAAACTGATTCTAATAACTCACTTGAGTATCACATTTCCACCAGAAGGGTATGCATCTATAGGTAGACTTGCACTCAAACTGAGCATTTGTACAGTTTGAAACACACTTATGCTGGTCTCCACCAATATAATAATTCTCAGGACAATCACAAGTCCTACCACCACCTGGTTTAAGTAGACAAAGGGTGTCGCAACCACCTCCATGAGCACATGGATTTTTTTTCAGTTTTACCTGCCTTAAAGGATGGTAAATGCGGAGATCCATTGGCCTGTTAGAACAAATAATTATACCTGAATTCCTTAACACATAAAAAAGTGTAAAACTAATTACATTTTTACTATTTAAATTTAATTTATAAACTCATGAACATAAAATTAATTTAGCACAAAAACTTTTTATTTTTTATTTATTCAATGAAATTTACAACTGTATAAACAATACAACTAGTAAAAATGCACACATTAGAAATCATGACATGAACAGATTTGAAGAGATAATGCCCAGTGGTAGCACTCCCTATTTAATTCTAGGTGAGAAGATCACGAGGCCATCTTCTTTTCAGATGCCTAGGGGGATTATCAGGAATCAAGGAAGAAGCAAGGCTGGAAACAAGTGGATTCGGATAGGACTCGAGTTTATCATGAAAGGATAGGTATCTGGATCGGGCTAAATCAGCGGCATAAGCACATAAATAAAATGTTACTATTAATTTATATAATGATACCAATAATTTAAATAGAGAAAAATACATAAGTAATGTATCACAGCTATTAATACATTTCATTATAATAACGTGGGTTATTATACTGCATCTTTGGATATAACATGAGATGTGTACAAAAGGTGTTACTAATTTTAAAAATTCAATTATTATCATTATGTAAATATTATAACTAAAACCAGACTGTGAGCTAATGCATATATTTCTTCATATTTTTTTCAACAAAAATAATTAAATATTTTTATAAATCAATGGTCTGGTGTAGATATACTAAATTTTATTTTGTACATATGTCCAAAATTTTAGTTAAAATTATTTTTCTCCAAATTAAAATAGAAAATAATTAAGTCAATTATTTTCTTATACAAATTCAATGTGGAATATTTTTTTTGTTTGATTCACAACTGGCTGGCTAAAATATCTAAATTAAAATGATACAAGCTAGATGATCAGACAAATCCAAAAAGATAGAAACCTTTAAGTCATCAAGTAGTTGTAGGCTTTTTTCATTAATCCAAATAAGATAATAGTGTTGTTACTTTTTTTGAGATGTATGTATATTTACTTGGCCTACCTGACGGATATCTTCGATTTCATACTAAAAATCTTAAGATTCCATAGTTTCAACTAACAGTCTACCTCTTCCCATTTATTTTAGCATGATTTACTATTTTATTTTCATACAAGTTAGTGTTTTGAAAAATGCCAGTTTCTAAATTATTTAAGTAATCTTGCCCATTAAAATCATCACACAAGATTATATGTTAACGGGGTGGTCAGATATGATATTCGATATTACACTACCGATTTTCTCCAAGCACTCATTGCAGTCGATAACATCTCCTGTGATATTTTTGTTCAGTTTGAACAACTCATAATAAATTAAACTGACCCCACCAAAAGCATAGGAGAAGATTCGAATAAAGAATATTTGCCTTGCGGATGATGTTGACACATGACTTTTGAAACTTTGCTTACCTCAAAATTTTTGAAACTTAGGATTATTGTACTGTATCTATTTTTCATCGCCAGTAACAACATGATGCACAAAACTTTTATTTTTCTGCAGATGAGGCAGTAGTTCACAACCTTTTTGATGAAACAGTGTTATTTTTCTCCAAAATTAAAATAATTATTTTTGAAACACCAAAGCCAGTCTCTACATGTCATTTTCAACAGAGCATGCACACCGTAAGTCATGACAAAAATTCAGTGTTCTCCAGTTGCAGATTTCTTTTGAATAATATTTGCTGCAAATATTCTTTGCTTAGAGCAAAACTCAACATTTTTAGAACTACGAAAAAAAACTTTACACTGTGGTAAACTAACTTACACTGAAGTCCAATCTTACTGACAGTAGTTCTTGAAATATTGAGTTATCTCCTGTTAGGAAACAGCGAGAACTTATTCAAGGTCCTAATAAAATTAACAAAATATTTTGTAAAATATAAACAAAAGATTATATAATGTTCTTAAATCTGTGATACTATTTAAAATACACGATATATCTATAGCCACAAGTATAATGTAATAGACTATGCTGCAATATTAGCATAGTTGAATGATAACATAAAAAAATGTAGCACATAACATTAATAATAAATATATTTTTAAACTAACAAAACAAATATATAATCATGAATAGCAGAAAGCTGAACTCTGCTGAGCTGTTAACCTTCAAATTTTAAAAAAGTAATGTATATTCTTATTAAAGAATGAAATAAGGAAAAATGGTATTCTCTTTCTTACAAAGAAAGTTACTCAAATTCATATAACAAAAGATTGAAGTTAAAAAGGATGAACAATTTTCTACCTGAAAATAATAAATAATATAACTTATTAATATTTGTCCCCTCTCACAAATAATACAAGTACTTCTTTTAAGTAAGTGATTTAATTTCTTCCAGATCCCTATCATAACAAGGATTCATTGTGCATGAAGTATCTCAATAATTAATAAAGTTATGTCATTTGTTCTACAATTCTTCATTATTCCAAAACAGTGAACATTTAATGTATCTCAGACATACAAATACAAAATGAACTTTAGAAAATTAAATTTATTGAACATTTATTGGGTTGGAAATTGTAAAAATTTATTCTCTATGAAAGAGGATTTTTTCAATTGTTTTTTATTATATATATATATATATATATATATATATATATATATATATTTTAAATACTTCATAACTCTAGATATAAATAAATACCTGTGTATCATATTTACTAATCTCTTGCATCCAGTCCCATTTCCAGGAAATCCATACTTATCACATTTTTCAATTGACTTGGTTTCCCAATCAGTCCAGTATATTGAATCTTCAAAAACTGCAATAGCGAACACATGATGCAAACTCAAGGATGGTATTTTACTCCTAGATAAAATAATCCTCCTATTTTTGCCCTCTAAATCTGCACAAGCTATGTAATCCTCCCTGGCATCAGCCCAGAAGATTAATTGATCATCATAGTCAATGGTAAGTGCATTTGGCCAGCCAAGCCCCTCTTGTATAATATATCTCTGTTGAGAGCCATCCATCCCAGCTTTTCCAATATGTGGATTTTCTGACCAGTCCGACCAGAATAAGTATCTTCAGTACAAAAACAATATGAATCAGCAAAAATCTGTACATAATATTGAATAAGCAGCATTCCATTAACAGAAACATAATTTCATTGATTGTCATTTAAACTGAATTTGAATACATAAACATAAATATAATAGTACACACACACACACACACACACACACACACACACACACACACACACATTTCTAGCGATTTTTCAGTTTAAATTAAATAAACCTTAAATCATACAATAGTTTGAGACAAAAGTGATATAAATGAATAATACAATAAATAAATATAGAATGACAAATATAAAAAATTAATTTATATATGATTGTTGATTTAAAGGTTCCAGATTTTTCTAGATTGAAGAACAATGCCCTCTATTGACAAGTGTATGTACAAAGTTCACTAAAGAAGATTTTAGAATACCTATCATTGTTGATTCCATAGTGCTCTTGAGATCTGTGGGTTTTATACCTTGCTACTAACAGTTTAGCTATAGGTAAGTTGAACATTTATGTTCATAGGTGTTTAAATTTTAGAGTTTTCACTATGAAAATATTCAATTTATCATTTTATAACCTTAGCTATACGATTTTAGCATTAAATTTAATTGAAATTAACGTTTTCAATGACTTTTAGGGGGTGTCCATCACTGAATCAAAAATCAGCCCAAATCTAGTTATGGACACCCCTGTCCATTACTGGTGCTCTGCACTTTTATGAAAATTGATCCTGTTATTGTATTTTCTGAGTCTATAAATAACAGAGAATCACATGGTATCCTTAGTTTTTCTCTAAAACATCTCTAACCAGTCTAAGGCAGGGGTGTCCATCACTGGGCCTGACCATGTCCATTACTGGGGGTCTACCGTGTCCATTACTAAACATGTCCATCAATTTTACTAGTTTTAATAGAATGTTTGACTGTAAATACAAAACACTGCAAATTATTACACAATGGTTTATTATTTCCAAATATTTATAAATCATATAGGTACGTCACACAACGTTATTCCTACAAATTCTCCAAAAAATAATTCGAAAAGTTGCCTCTTTAAAAAGTTTTTATTATTCATTTTTCGTTTTAAAAATTGAAAATCAAATTATTCTTCAGATAACAATATCAACTTTATCGGTGGAAAAAATATTTCAGTTATAAAATAAAAAGAACTGACTTTGCAATAGAACAGATACAATAAGTTCAAAACACCATTTCTCTGCACCAAGTTGTCTGATTTCAATGATTGTCTATTTTCCTTCGGAAATAATCGACTACTTGCACTATATCGAAAGTCGTCAGTGGAAGGCAGGGTTGCGGTTTCTATCCATTTTGGAACCCCTAGAACATGATTCGGCAATTTTTAGAGATGTCAGTATATATATATATATACATATATATATATATATATATATATATATATATATATATATATATATATATATATATATATATTTTTTTTTTTTTTTTTATTTTCCCCGCTATATTTTGGCTTCCCCAGTGGCTCCTGTTTGACCGAATAAGCTGAAATTCGGTACATAGACTTTGTTTGGGAACTTCTGCCGGGGGGTGGAACAATACTATTAAATTTTAGAAAAAATTTCTCAAAATTTCGGCATGAAAGAACGTTTTTTCATTTTTTTTAAAGTATTGTGCATCTCCACAGCTCCTCCTAATAATATAATTGAAATATATTAAGCTGGTGTTGGAGAGGTACCTTTGAGGGGTCTCATCACCAGCCACCATTTTGTTTCAAGATGGCAGTGGAAAAATCTGTTTCTCTATAGACTACAGCACTAAAATAGATGTAGCGGTATTTTCAACTCGTTTTTTTTATAAGCAATAAATATATATATATTTGTTTACAACATAAACCAATTATAAACAAATTAATTGATTAAAATAACTATCAATATTATTTTTCATAGTTTAATAAAGATTTTACATTTTTTCTGAGGAATTTCCATTGCTGGTATCGACCCCCTGTCCTACACTAGAACAATTGACTTTGAGAGGTATGAACATATCAAAAGTCCTGATATTTATGTGGTGAGCAGGGGAGAGAGGGGAGGAAAGGTTACAGTTTTTGGATTTTCGCTTATATCTCAAAAATAGTGCTTCGCAGAGAAAAATTGTTTGTAGTAAATTAAAGTTTATAAAATCACCTAAAACATTTATTCTATAGGTTTTATCAGAATTCTAAATTTCTTTCGAGCTACACCCGCTGAAAAATATGACATTTTCGAAAAAATCATTTTGCCTCACATTCAAACATTCCTTCATATCGTCCATGATATTCATCAGAGAAAGAAGCTCATTTAAAATAATTCATAGAGACTTGAATTTACTATTGGAATATATATAAATATGCAAATTAATCTCTAACCAGTCTACAGTTACAGCTATTTTAAAAAAATTCATAAAACGTCATTTTCAGAAAAAGTTGTTTTTATCATATTCTTGACCCACAACTTTTGTTTGTGTGTTTACTTAATATTACACTGACACAAATTTGGATGTATTCTTGATGAAATGAAACCAAATACTGAATCTCAGTGACCAAAAAATCTGCCATGTTGGGCGCCATTTTGGAACAGCCCATTCACTTTTTTGTGGGACCATTGGCTTTTTTTTAATACATAGTTTCAAAGAACACAAGAATATAAAATTTATAGGGTTGAGGGGGAGTGTATGGTTGGGGGGTCTGGCCCACTGTGTACCACACCTCACTACTCGAGATATCGGCTGGCAGGAGAATGACTGCCACCGGATATATCTGAGTGAGGAAATGACTCTCACGAACAGACACTTATATTGGCTTGCCCGACAGAAGAGAGCTGCGGGGAAAATCAAATAAACGTGGTTTGCCGCCGGAAAGGTGCAATGTCGGAACGAAGACGTTTTAGACGTACTAGGCTTGCAGATGACTACCAAGCATTCAGGATGCTTCGCAACTTGGCACAGACAAGGATCCAGCGTGCAAAAGCTAAATACTTCCATGAAACCTTTTCCTCAACTCCTGATATCAAATCGAAATGGCTACTGCTTCGTAAACTTTCCATTTGTAATCCTTCCAGATCCCCTACCGCAGCCTTGATTTAAACTCTCATTTTATATCTGTCGCTAATACCTCTTCTCTACCCTCCTCTTTCAGCTTTTCTCTAGAGATATCCTTTAACGACAATAACTTTTATTTTTCCGACATTTCTCCCACAGACCGTTTAACAGCAGTAATGAAATCCCACACCAATTCCATAGGACCAGACGACATCCCTGTCAAATTAATAAAATTATGTCTCCCTGAAATCCTCCCAGCTCTCCTTTTTATCTATAATTTCTCCCTTCAGAATTCAGTATTCCCTACCTCTTGGAAAAAGCCATTGTTCTTCTTTTAAATAAAAAGCCTAATTCATCCTCGCCTGAATATTTCCGTCCAATCTCAATTCTTTCTAACCTCTCAAAGCCTCTTGAAAGGCTGGTGCAATCCCAAGTCTCCAAGTACCTCGAAAAGTCCAACCAATTTGATCCTCTCCAATCTGATTTCCGTCCTGGCTATTCCACACAATCTGCCTTAATTAAAATTACCAGCGACATTCAATCTGCAATAGATGATAAAAAATTAACTGTCCTTATACTTCTCGACTTCTCCAAAGCCTTCGATACCATTAACCATTCCATCCTCTTCAACAAACTAAAAGCATTATCTTCCTCCAATAGTTGCATCTCTTGGTTCCAATCTTTCCTCCCCCAACGCACCTAAGCAGTCTTCATACCCAATCAACCACTATCTTCCTTCCTTTATCCTCTGGAGTTGCTCAGGGTTCAAGCATATCTCCTCTCCTTTTCAGCTCCTACATTAATGACCTACATAATTCAATTCTCCATTGTTCCCACCACCTTTATGCAGACGATTCCCAGATCTACCTATCCTTTTCTCCCCCTGAGTTATTGGTAGCATTTGCCAAGATTCAAGAAGACCTTGATCGAATCAATGCCTGGGCAAATGTAAATGGATTAAAGTTAAATACTGCCAAAACTCAGACCATTATCATTGGTTCCAAGCCCCTTATTAGATCCCATACAGACTTTCCTATATTACACCTTAATGACCAGCCAATTTTCTTCTAATCCTCTATTAAAAATTTAGGATTTTTCATAGATCAAACCCTCTCCTGGAACTACCATATTTCTCACATTTCCCGTCGAACAATTTCTACCCTTAAACTGTTTCATCGCTTCCGCCCTTTCCTACCTCAACATACCCGTAGACTCCTAATTTCCTCTCTCATCTTCCCCCACTTTGACTACAGCTGTGTGGTGTATGATGGCCTCTTGGTGGAGCTCCGTGATAGACTGAAAAGATTAATGAATAGCTGCGTAAGATTTGTTATTGGTGCCCCGAGGTACTCCCATGTCTCTCACCACTATGCTGAGTTAAGGTGGCTCTTCCCCTCCTTTCGAAGACAATATTTCCTAGGTACGTTCCTTTATCAAATCATCAACAACCATCTTCCTTCTTATGCCTACACCCTTCTCCAATTCAAGTCCTCAGTCCATTCCCTTTCAACAAGATCTCGACCTTCTGACCTCTACATCCCTTCTCACAGATCTGCCTCATTTCATAACTCCTTTATAGCTCGCGCTGTCAATTTCTGGAATTCCCTACCTATCAAAATTCGGCATTCCCCCTCCATATCCACATTCAAAACCCTCCTATTCCAATTCTTATCCCAAAAACAGTCAGATGCTTGCTAAACTTTGGATATTATACATTTTTATTATATCATTCATCATCAAATGACAGTACCATTCCATACTGTAAACTTTAGTAGGGATTTTAGAATATCTTCCTACTCTCAATGCCACTGAATGCATCTATTGTTTGTTTTTTATTATTTGTATTCTTATACAAATCAATTTGTACCAATAGTTACAATAAGACAATGATGTGTTTAGATATTATTCATTATTTAAATACTCGTAACATTTTATATTGTCAGATTTGTCTTTCCTTTATTAGCAGAAACACAGCTCATTTTAAAGAAGAACTCAATATATTTTTTATTATTTTATTTTTCAAAAGTGTATAATTATAATTTTTCCTACTGCACATAGTTTTAAGTGTTTTATCATAGTTTTAAGTGTTTTATATATTGATTTTTTTTTTTGTATACAGCTTGATTAACTAATATTTTCTTTACTTTCTCTTTTTTTATTATGGTTTTATTTTGGCCAGATGTAGTCTTTTAATTATGTTCTATTTTGTTGTTCTAAAGGCACTTTGTCCCAGAATAAAGTTATTTTCTATTTCTATTTCTAGCACTACTGAGGGTGAAGATGCCATGGACGAACAACCCTTGCCAAGACCCACATCTCCAAAGTGAATGAAAACGTGAATTCATCTAAATTTGTGAGTGTAATATTAATAAGTTATTGAAAACAGTGATTACAATGAGGTTTATAATTGAATATATTTAACAAAACAAAATAGACCTTGGTACTCTTGATATAATTTATTTCTGAAATAATATTTTAAATTGCCAATGAAATAATCTCGATGAAATGACTACTAAATTTATTTCTGAAATAATTATTTAAATATTTTAACATTCGTTGAAATAAAGTAATTTATTTTGAAATGAGTTGTTTCAGAAATAATTACTTCATAATTATTATTTCAGATTTACTTATTTCATAAATAAATTATCACAAAAAACATGAAATAATTATTTTAGAAATAACTCTGTTCTAAAATAATATAAAAAATCCACCAATATAACAAATATATAATATAATTCCACCCGATTAACCTGTAATCTGCTAGTGAGAATGACTATAGGGCGCATATTTCGCCCAATACCTACAGGTATCCAGCTCAAATGGGCTGAGTGTGCCCGACCACCTTAATATTATATTTACCCAATATATTTTCACCTGTTTGAGACACTTCAGTCTTTGAAGAGGCTGAGTGTGCCCGACAGAAATTTCAATTTTCTTATGCCCCTTTTCATTTTTTACAATTAGATGGACTTGAGGAATTATATTTACTGCTGTTGGAGAGACTTTAATCTTTGTAGAGGCTGAGTATGCCCGACAGCAATTTCATTTTACTTATGCTCCTTTTTTTTTTTTTACAATTAGATGGACTTGAAGAATTATATTTACTCCAGTTTGAGACACTTTGATATTTGTAGATGCTGAGTGTGCCCGACAGAAATTTTATTTTTTTAATGCACTTTTTCGTTTTTTACAATAAGACGGACTTGAAGAATTATATTTACTCCTGTTTGAGACACTTTAATCTTTGTAGAGGCTGAGTGTGCCTGATAGAAATTTCATTTTTCTTATATCTCTTTTTCGCTTTTTACAACTAGACCGAGTTGAGGCATTATATTTACTGCTACTTGAGACACATTAATCTTTTTAGAGGCTGAGTGTCCCAGATTACTGTTTCATTTTTTCTTATGTCCTCCTTAGATTTTTTTTGTAGATAGACGGATTTAAACCTTGGTATGAGTAGGGAAACAAACTATCGGGCATACTTAGCCTCTATAAAGACTAAAGTGACTCAAACAGCAGTAAATATAATGCCTCAAGTCCATCTAATTGCAGGGAATAAAACCGAACATAAGGAAAAATGAAATTTCTGTTAGGTACACTCAGCCTCTATAGAGGCTAAAGTATCTCAAACAGTAGTAAATATAACGCCTCAAGTCTGTCTAATTTCATGGAATAAAATGGAACATAAAAAAATGAAATTTCTGTTGGACACATTCAGCCTCTATGAAGACTAAAGTGTCTCAAACAGCAGTAAATATAATGTCTCAAGTCCTTCTAATTGTAGAAAACTAAAAAGAACCATATGAAAAAATTAAGTTGCTGGCGGGCACACTCAGCATCTACAAAGATTAAAGTATCTCAAACAGCAGTGAATATAATGCCTCAAGTCCGTCTAATTACTGAAAACTAAAAGCAACCTTAAGAAAAATGTTTATTTTGAATAGTTGGAATGAAATTTAATAAAAAAACAAAATGTATTATTGAAATTATAAGCAGAAATAATTACGGTGATACAACTGTAGCAAGGAACACATTTGAATATGTAGATAAATTGAAGTAGCTGAGATCTAAAATAAACAAAAGAAGTAAAATTCAGGAGAAATGAAAGGTAATGTTGAAAATGGGTAATATTTGTTGACGATTCTCAGTTCCAAAATTACTTATTTGATGCCTATTTACCAGAAACCTAAAATTACATGTTTGGAGACTATGAATATAGTTCATCCTGTTTATAAATATTGTAGAAAATATATATTTAACAGTTTATTAACAGTCATATAATAAAAGCCTGTAAATGTAAACAATAAAAATATTTAGAATGGAAAAATGTTGTATAGTATGCTTAAGAAAAGGATATTTTGTTTTAAATACTCTTTTATTTCATGATTATGAATATGCACTGGGCTAAGATTGATCAGAAAAGCTCAAAACCATATTTTCTAACGAAATGTCTCTTACAGGTCTTTGCAGCAAGACATCAACAGTGTGCACATTGATGATTGTTACTTAATTCAAAATAAACTCAGTCTGTATAAGGTTCTTTCTTAGAAAAAAATATATGTTAACTAAATTTAGCCAATTTACATTTAGTTATCAATGTTTCAAAATAATCAGTAACTTTCCATTTTTGTACGATACTAATTTGATAATTGTCTTAGATCTACCCTGAGCACTCCAAACTAAAAAATAAATTCAGACTTCCAGTAATAGCAATTTTAACACCTACCCCTCTTGTGGCAACAGGGCAATAGCTCTAGGTTCTGAAAGACCCGTTTTGATCAATATTTTTCGATAACTTCCATCAAGTTTTGAGACTTCTATTGTATCTGATTCTTTATCACACCAATAAAGGTTTCTACCAACCCAATCCACAGCTAATCCATCAGGGTTGTCCAAGTTTGAAGAATGAAGAGTTTGTATCTAAACATAATATAACTACAATTAGAATATACATTTAAAAATTATTTAATTTCTTGAGTGAGTGAATCTAATATGCATCCATGGGATGCTTGCATGGAAAAAACAATGCAATAATTTGAGCCATGATAAAATTCAAGTGGTAATGTATATATTGTTGGCTGGTGAATATTGTTTTTAAGGTTATTATGGTTTTATAAATGGGCTAATGTCTAATAGCAAATCCTCTGAAAGGTTTTTGTATATTTTTTTCAGATGAAAATTTAAATTACATGTAAAATCATATTATCCCTGAAGATGACTGAAGAGACGAAAATTTGAATAAATTTGAAATAAAGTAATTATTTATGGAGACTGAAAAGACCTTTTTCTACTAAAAATACTAATGACAATATTTTCTATACTTTTTACATTTTATAGATAAAAGAACTTAAAGGCAGAGCCTGGTTTGATCCACAAAAATTGCTACAATACCCTTATGACAAAGATCTATAGCCTTAAGACTTTATAAACTAAAGAAGTTGAACTGTACTGAATATTTTCATTTAATTTTTGAAAGTTTAAAATTATAAATATAATGCCACTTTATATAATAAATAATACCTGTGTATCGCTGGGACAAAGTCTATTAATGGAAGCTCGTAGAGCAGTCACGTCTGACCAATAAAAACAACCGTCCAACCAATCATAATCAAGAGCAACTGCATTGGTCAGATTACTAACAAGAATAGGTGTTGTAGAATGGCCAGTTGAATCCACTCTTCGAATATAGTACTTATTGGCAAATATTAGCTGAACTTTATCAGTTGAATTTAATTTACAAGTCCGCTTATCAGGTTTTATTTCATAGCCATTATAACAGCTACATTCATATGATCCGATTCTATTAATGCATTTCTGTGAACAAGGACGTGAAGTATTAACATCATTACATTCATCAATATCTCCACATCTTGTACCATCATGGAGATAAAATCCAGGTAGACAAGAGCATTTAAAGCCAACAGGGAGATCAGTGCAAATATGTTGGCATGGATTTGTAGCACTGTCACATTCATTAATATTACATAGCTCCTCATCAGAAAAATCAGAACAATCATTAATACCATCACAGGTCAGATCCATGCTTATACAAATATGGTTTTGACATCTAAATAATCCATTTTCTTCACAAGAATAGTCCTTGCATTCCTTATCGAAGATAGCTTCATGGGATTCATTGATACATTTGTTTTTTCCACTGCATAATTCAACTTTTGATATGCATTGACCATCAGCGCAATGAATTTTATTCTCTGAACAAGGTTCAGCATTTGAAGAACATGTTTTAGGTTCATCAGAATTGTCACCACAATCATCATCTCCATCACAATAATATTCCTAGAAAATGAAACAAGAATCATGAAATAATGATCTTATAAGAGTAAAAAAAAAAATGCATTCAAATTATTGGTTTGATTAATAATTGATATAGATTCATTAACCAAACTACAGTCATTTATCAATATGTAAATAAAAGCTGGATTTGTCGGAAATGAGATATTAAAACATTTCTAAAATAGCAGAATTTAAAGTACCTTCTCAATACATTTGTGATTAGCACACTTTATCTGAGTACTAGAACATGAGAATCCAGTTTTGTCAAGGCAAGTTACAATAGATTCATCAGCACCATCTGGGCAATCATTTTCTCCATCACATAATAGTCTTTTGGATATACACAAAGATCCACAAGGAAAACCAGTACAGACTGATCCACAATCCAGTTCATCAGATCTATCAGTGCAATCCAGTACACCATTGCATCTGTAAAAAACATTATTATTTTTTAATAATATATGCATAAGTCAAATTAGAGAAATTATTATTTATAACCTTCTAAAATACTAGGAAACAGAAGATTTTAAATTATACAACAGAATGTAAAGAACATATTTTGTTTAATATAAATAAATTTAATATGTACAATTAAATTAAAATGATTAAACAGGGAGGGAGTTGAGGTTGACATGGCATGTGTTGATGAGCTGTTGATCTGTAAAATAAAGTAAAACTTACAAAACTATTGAGTGAGTGTTAAAGTGCATAAAAATTTAGTGAGAAAAAAAGTTTTAACTTTCAAAATATCCATATGGTAGCAGACCATAGTTAAACAGAAGACCAATTAAGAAGAAAACTTGATGCTTTTTTTAAATCAGGTTCAAGTTCAGTGATATTAATCACAAATATAGTTTCAGTTTCATTAGAAAACTAAAATTAATTGTTAAATTCCAATTATCGAAAAGATAAAATGTTTATTAAATTTTAATGCATGGAAGCTAGACATTAGTACACTATTCAAAAATAGACTAGCCCTTAGATAGATTTCACACAATATATAATTGTCAGAGTGAGGTGAAAAGTTTTCTAAGCAAGTTCAGTATAGATACCTCTTCATTTTCATTGGCTACCTATATTTAAATGTCTATAATTTTTCTTTTAAGAATAAACTCTTCGGGAGAAGCCCTTTTTGATCATCAACAAATACAAAAATGCGGAAAAGTTCCACATATGCGAATTTCATGTTTGAAAATTTCTGATTACAAAAAAAAAAAATTATGAACTTGAACAATTCTCAGTATAGTATGTACATATTGAACAAATATATACACTTGATAGGTATATTTTCACTTGAAAAATTATGTGATGAAAATCCATTGAAAATTTCAATTATTTGTTCATTTCGTTGTTAACGAAAAACTATTTTAAAGTAGAGTATAAAAATATGAGTGAAGTTAACAAATTACATGAAAAGAAGGCCTGTCATCATCATCATGAATTACCTGTGTCGTCAACTGAATTACTTGTGCGTCTAAAAAGCCTCTTGCCAGTATCTCTTCTTTTCATGAATTCTCTTATTTCAAAAATCTCCTGTTCTCTTTGCCTTATCTGGCAATAATGATCCTTATCGAAAAGGTTTAAATCCGCTCTTCGATATTGTTGTGTTTGGTTTCATTGGCATTATTTTTGTTTGTACTACAGCGTAGTGAATATGTCAAATGATAAAGGTAATGGTAGTTTTTGGTTTTTATTTCAAAAAAGGCAAGCGAGTTTCGGAGGTCCACCGAAAGATATGTAAGATATATATATATGCAAAATAAAAAAATAAATATATATACATATATTAGCGATATCATATACATATCAAGCGATATCAAGACTCTAACAAGGAATTGTGGAGACACTGAAAATATGTTTTGAAACTGTTCAAAGGCATTTAAAACAGCTTGGCTACGTGTCCCGCCTCGATGTTTGGGGATCACACAAACTGACTGAGGCAAATCTGGCCAACCAAATATCAATCTGCAACTCTCTACTGAACCAGCACAAAACGAATCCATTCTCAATTGAATAGTGACGAGTGGATCATCAGCGACTATGTTGTGTGCAGGAGATTGTGGACAACCGCTGTCAGCTGCCTAATGACGCCTTCTCCCTCCGAAGGTCAGAAAAGAATTTTCTATCTATATGTTTGGATTATTCAGTGTGCTGATTTACCAGTTGCTTCCACAAGGAAAAATGATTGATTCGAAGATCTACTGCACGCAACTAACAAAATTGGACCAAGCATTACGACAGAAACAGCCGGAACTAGTCAAAAAGCGGAATAATGAAATTGTTAGAATGATGGCAAAAGATCATTAACAAAAACGGCAAATACATTATAAAATAAAATTTATTATTCCACCCTTCAAAAACCGAACGAACTTATGGATCCATCCAATATATGCCTGTGTATGTATATGTATATAAGTTATGATTCTACTGAAGAAATAACAACACAGCTTGTGGGAATGAAGTGGCTTTATTTCGAACTGGTATATAAGTTTTCGACACTGAATTATTACAACACTCTTGTAACCTCACTTTTTTGTTATTTATCAATTCTCTATATTAACATGTGTTTTTTAAACAATTATTTAGCTTATCTTACGAATAATCTTATATACATCCTATATACAGTTAAATATATATAAAATATACCTTGGCCCATTTGCAAAGGCCTTTCCCATTCTTCTGTTCTTATACCTGTTTCCGACTGTTCCTCAACTTGCCCATACTTAATAATAATAATAATAATAATAATAATATACTATAAATCAAAAAGAAACAGATTAGACTTGCCTATTAGTTAAAGGAATACATTCTACAGATGAATTGCATTTAAACTGTTCTGGTCCACATACTCGAGTACAATTTTTTTCATCAGTGCCATCTTGACAGTCATCTTCACCATCACAAACCCAGGATTGTTTAATGCATTGTCCACTCGCACACATAAATCTATCAGATGAACAAACAGGACCTACTGTAGTCTGGTGATGGGTGCAGTTGTGTTCATCAGAATTATCAAGACAGTCATTCTGGCCATCACATATCCAACTAGGCAAGATACAAGCAGATGTTGTATTGCAAGGAATAAAGGGGCCACCAGCACCATAGAATTGGCTACATTCTTTTATAGGACATCCCATTTCATCTGAGGCATCTTTACAATCTTGATCCCGATCACACCTATAAGAAGTCTTCAGTAAAACTAATTGAGTATTATAAATAAAAATAAATTAATCATATTCAATAAACAACAACCATAATAAATAATGTAATATATGAGAAGGAGTTAGTCGAGGGTGCGGTCAAATAAATAAAAAAAATTAAAATATATTAATTATTTTAATTTTTGCCGACGTTTCGACCCACTTTGTAAGTCGTCTTCAGGGCGTAGGATGTGGCACTGCGGGAGGCAGTTGAAAACCTACAGTTGTTTTCAACTGCCTCTCGCAGTGCCACATCCTACGCCCTGAAGACGACCTGCAAAGTGGGTCGAAACGTCGGCAAAAATTAAAATAATTAATATATTTTAATTTTTTTTTATTTATTTGACCGCACCCTCGACTAACTCCTTCTCATATTATATCAACGGTCAACCATCTCTACATCATTATAATGTAATATATGTTAACAATATTAAAATTGATCAAGTAAATGCATTGGCACCTGAAATAGAAACTGTGAATAACTAACTGTAAACTTAACATAATTTAAATACACCCCTATTCAACTTTTTCATTAGATATGCTATGTTTGTGAAACAGAGAATCAGAATATATAAAAAGTTATACATAAAAGTTGGTAAATATTAGGACTGGAAGAACCTATAACCACTTAATACAATAATGATCTATTCCCATAATAGAGGAAAAAATAATGATTCATCATCATCTTAGATGATATTTTTTTAAAAGAATAGAATATGTTTAACATATTTAAAAAAAAAATAAAATGCCTATTTTCATAATTGAATAACAGATTAATTGATTTTTATAAATTATCAAACAGTATTATAAAATGTATTTTATAACATATTTCAGATCACAGGAAAAAAATAAATTAAAAAGTAATAAATAAAAATAAATTGTAACAATTTATCTTTGTTTTTTTTGCTGAAAAAACAGGTACTCTGAGGTGATAAATTATCAAATCACATAATTTTTTTACACAACTAGAGGTGAATTTCAATTTATTCTGTAACAAATCACAAATTAATTAAATGCAATTAAAGCTTATTGAACAAGGAAGTTTTTTTTAAAGTGGGCTATCTCTAGTTCAGCTATAGGATGATAAAAAAATCATAAATAATCCATAATTGTATGAAAAACAGAACTTACCATAGTTAAGAACCTTAAAAGTCTCCTTTAAATGATATTAACAAAGACAAACTTTACCTGTTTTTAAAGGAAATCTAGTTTAGTTTACTACAACCTAATTGTTAGTAACCTACGTTAAATAATTTTTTAGTTGTAGTTTCATAATCAAAAAATAAGGTGACTTAATTAAAAAAACACAAAACATAAATCTCCTGATTTTTTGTCCAAAAGTTAATATAACTTTTTGGTAGCTCTTCAGGTTTACTATCACCGCTTTAAATATTACCTTTTCCTTATGGGACACTATGTAATACCATAAAATGTATATGTTTTGAGTTATGCACAAATAAAATTATCTTTTCCTCATAACTTTGTTACGGTCTTTAATTTGGAAAAATTGTTTCCGCAACAAATTTGCCAGATGCTCAGTGGAGACGGTAGGGTTCGCAAAAAAAAAAAAAGAAAATTAATGAAGAGTCAATTAAATTAATTAACTAACTATCTAACAGGCTCCACGATATTTAATTTGTTGAATTTGGAAAATAGCGAAAACCATAAAAATAAAAAAAATAAATAAATTTAATTAAAAAAAAAAAAGATTGGACGCGGAGTGAGCTACGAACTCGGAACCTATGGGTTTAAAAACATATGTTAATTAACCTCAAAAACCTATCGAACTTCTTACTCGGTTAATATTCATTTTCCCTAATCCCTCGAATAGGGTTTTACAATTCCTTATTAAACCTTAAAAAAAAACATTATAATATATACATAAAACGTGAAAACAAACTGAAGAAAAGAAGAAAATAAAACTGGCTATTATTAATACTAATGATGAATTTACTTGTTTCTATTGATCTAAATAACTGTTAAAGGAAATGAAAATTATGAACAAGAAATTAAATTTATAAGAAAACAAAGAAAATATAATTAACTTTAATTATCAAAGAAAAGATTATAAAATTATTATAGAACTAAACATTAACTTACAACTATACAATAAACCAATTACAAATATTTGGGGAAAAAAATAGATAGGAAAAACTTATATGTACATATTTACAATATCCCAATGGTTGAACTCTGTCCAATTGGCACATTGGGTTATCTGAAGAAGGAAGAACTTATTCGAACTAGCGTCGTCAAGGTCTCCCCAGTCTACCTCCTCAAGCTGTGAAATGTTCATTCATCAACTCAATCAAGCAGATCGTAAAATCGTAAAATCAAGCAGCACTCGTCGCTGATAATCACAGGTTCATGGATAGGAAAAGAAAATCCGGTGTACACCGTAAAACTAAAGTATTTCACACACAAAAATCCTTAGCGTGCCTCAACACTCGCGAGGTTCCGCCATCTCTCTCTAAACTGTCTTTTGTTTTTCTCCCAATCATCTGTTGGTTATTCCAATCCGAAATAAAATGAATACTTAAAACTAAGACTTATTATAAACTAATACTTATTATTAAAACTAATACTAAATACTTAATTTTATATTTAACCCTCTTCGAGTTGATAAAAAAACTAACAATTATTTTACGAACTAATTTTTTTTTGTACTTTATTTTTCATCACAACTTGTCCCATATTTGTTTTGGGAGGGATTTAATTTCATATAAAAAATTGAAATTATCATATCAATCAAATAATAGTTTAAAAAACTCATTTTGGCTAGAAATATCAGTCCTTTAACATCTGCTATTATATTTTATCTTGATTTGAAAACCTTCAAACTTATTAATACATATCAAACATTTTTAATTGAAGGTAAGAATATAATAAAAAACAAAAGAATATAATTATTAAAAAAAATCTGGTGCGCACATCACAAAACTTTTACTTATCGCTACTTCTGCTTTGAGTAGAAATTATTTTCCGACAATGTTGGGCTATTACAAAAATTTTGAAGTGCATTTTAAATAAAACTAAAGCTTACAGCTATCAAATCATTAAGATCATTAAAATAACCAAAACTCTATTTTTGATATTGTCGATAGGCAATAAAAAACTCGTAGCTTCAACTGTTATTGTTAATCAAAAACTCAAGTCCCTGAGCCATACATGCCTTCAGAGATTTAAAAGTATATCTATATATTTAACCTATAAATGATTATGGATTGTACAAATATTAGTTATTAAACTCTTATTTTCCATTATAAGGTTTATTAAAATGGAGTTACGAGATTTTCATTGCCTGCCATAGTTAGGTCAAAAGTTGTCCCACTAATTGTAAGTCGATAATTTTGGGATTTCACAAAAGAAAATTCATCAAATTATTCACTAACTAAATGAATGATCTGAAAGATTACATGAAATTTTTTGGAATAAACGTATGATTAATATTTTATTATTTAAATATAATAGCGGATCTAGAGTTATTAAATTATAGTAAATTTATTTAAGGTTATAATCAGATGTTTTACACATCCATGAAATATCTTTATATTTCACTTTTTTCATACTAGTATAATGAAATAGTTTTTTTAAATCATTGCCTTGATTCTTTGGCTTATACTTTTTTTAAACTTAAAAATTTACATTTAATAAGGAAATTTTATTTTATTTCCTTGGAAACATCTTATTTACGTTAAATAATATTACTTTTTAAATATTATTATTTATATATTTTTTAGGTCTACTAGCACTGCTTTAAATATTTTTCTTTACTTCTGGGACACCTTGTATAATTTACCATTGAATTGAACGCTTTTAATGTAACTGCAATTTTCTTTCATTTGATAATATTCAGAACTGTATATTTATAAAAACATTACAATTTTAGAGGAAGCAGGTGGTTCGAAGTGGCGGTTATAAAAAGATTAAGATAGTAAAAAAACTATTTTATTTCATGCCAATGTTTCGACCCAACTTTGCAGGTATTCAGGGATAGAACGAACAAAAAACAAAAGGATATAGACAAATTTGGAAGTTAGATGATATTCAGATAAAAATTATAAACAGCGGGAATAAACTTATTAAAATTATAAACAGTGTGAATAGGAAGTACATAGAAATGTTAAGAAGAATAAAACTATATAAACAGATTGAACGAAGCAATATTTCGAGAATATGGAGTGATTATTAAAAATTGAAACACTCCTAGAAGAATAAAAAATCCATACTGAAAAATTAACTATGGAAAATAACTCATTGAAAACAAATATATCTGGGCTGAAAAGTCGCCTGAATTCCACAGAACAGTTTCAACTGAAAAATACAATTGAAATTAGAGGAATTCCAGAGAAGGGTGGCGAAACCGTAACTGGCACGATTCTTAGCGTCGCAGCGGGTCTGGGCGTCAAATTGAGTCCGGACGATCTCGATCACGCCGTGAGACTAAGACCCAAGGAAGAAGGGACCCCAGGCCCAATTATAGTAAGATTCATCAGACAAGCGGTGAGAGATGAGCTGGTGCGGCAACGAAAAGCGAAGAGAGATTTCTCTAAGTGTCATCTAGGCTGGGGAGAGAACGACTCGCACGGCGTCTACATGAATGAAGCCATGACGCCCACCAATTGGTTAGTCAGGCAGAAGAGGGTGACTGCAAAAATAAGATATGTCTGGTTTAGTGGGGGTAAAATTCATTGCAGACAATCAGATGGAGGCCCAGTAGTAATTACAGAAAAACCAAGTGATCTCGACGTTTTCAGCTGAACGTTGTATATAAGTTACCTTCAGCTTGCGATTAATTTACTTTCTCTCTATTTACTTATAATATGTTTATTATAATTTTTTTCATTTCCAGCTTTCTTTATTTTTTATAAATGTAGCTTCTCTTGTTTTTTTTACTTTTATATAAATTTTTTTTCATCAGAAATATTATTATTTTAATTTTAAGCTTCTTTTATTTTTGTATAAATTATTTAGAACTTTATCTGATTCCTTGCCAATTTTTATCAATTTATCTAGACAAAGGAGATATTTATATTTTCTTATGTTATAAATTAATTTTAACTGAATATTTATTTCGAAATACTGAAAATTTATTTTTTCATCTCAAAGTTTATTTTATGTTTGCATTGTTTTTGATATTTCTAAACTTAATATTATGCTTAAAAAATGTTATATCCTATCCTCCATCCTCCATCATTTTTTTCCAAAATCCTACTTCCCAACTCTACAGTCATGACAAATGCCCTGAATTCCTGTCACATCAATGCACAATCCTTTACTGCATGATAGATCTGATCGCACAGGAGGTGGTGTCGGATTGTATGTTCATGACAGTTTTAAGGCCAAAATCCTCCTGCAGTCTCCTTCACATGACTTTACTCACGTGGATTACATGTTCATTGAAATTTACTCTATTACCGCTCCCCTGTTATTTGCCATTGTTTACCACCCTCTTCGTGTTCCATTCAATAACTTCTTTGAATCTTCCCTTGTCAACCTGGTTTCCCATTACAACAATATTATTATCACCGGTGATTTTAACGTGAATATGCTCTCACAATCTCCTGTAAAACACTTCCTAACTGACCTACTGTTTTTCCTTAATCTTTATCTTGTTCCTTATTCTCCTACCCATCACACCCAATTTTCCGACACCTTGTTAGACCTCTACATCTCTGACTCTCACATCAAAATCCTCTCCTCTTCCCAACACTCTGTTCCATTTCTTTGATCCTACGACCTGATCCAAATTACATATGACCTACCCATGAAATCCTTTACTCCCAAAATGGTCTCATACCGTAATTTAAACCTTCTCTCTTATGAATCCATTCAACCTGACCTTTTTTCTTTCCAATGGGAGAATATCTTCCTATAATTCCATCGATCCTATAGTATCTATCCTAACTTCAAACCTACAATCCTTATTAGACACCGATGCTCCTCTGAAAACCAGAACCTTACGTCGTTCCACTGCACCTTGTCTGATTTCTGAAATAAAGGAAATGATGAAAAGAAGGAATGCAGCAAGGCGCAAATACTGTCGAACCCATTTGCCTGTAGATTATGCGTTTTTCAAGGAACTTCGCAATGGAACTGTAAATAACCTAATAAAGTTTAAATGTAAATAATTTGTACTGTAAATATGTATATAAATTATTAGATCGTTCTTCATTATTTTTATTTCATGTTTATTTTCAATTTTTTATTTTTTATTATTAACTGATCTAAATTAGTAAATAACTTATAATTTTGTCTATTATTTTGACTATTTAATTACTCTATATTTTTGTTTATGTATCTCTAAGGCTCCTTAGCCTACATTGTTGTCTTTCTGTAATATTCTAAAGGGACTCGTCAGAATAAATAAAGCATTATTATTATTTTTGGTTGTATAGATGCTTAACAGTTTAAGTATAGTGTTGAGAGGGAAATTATAGGAAAGTAGTATATTTTTGACACGCTGAATCTTGATTTGGTGGTATTGTGGATCAGATAGAGAGATCGGTGAATTAGGTTTTTGGTGGTACGGATGTTGAGAGTAAAAATTAAGAAGTCTGCCTGAGTACGTGGGTTTAGTATACCAGTCAGTAGAAACAGAGCCAGAACAAATAACGCACAAACAAATGGGCAGAACAAATAGAGCTGTCAATGTTTCTGATTATTTGGAGATCTAGAAAGGAGATTGAATTGTTAACTTCTTTCTCAATAGTGAAACAAAGATGGGGCTGGTAAGAGTTAAATGAGGAAAAGATTTGAGGGACACTTTCAGGATTAAGAACAAGGAGGTCATTGACATATTTTATAATGAAAATGATATCTTGATGGAAAGAAGGGATAAGGGAATCTAGGAGGTCATTAAAAACTATGTTGGAAAAATATCAGGTGCTAAATAGTTTCCCATGGCTAGACCAGATCTGATTAAAGAATTTACCATCAAAAGTGAGGTATTGAGATCTACAACAAAGGTCAAATCTTTTCCTGAGATTTGTAAGATTATATTCATAATTGTGTATATCATTCATTTTTCTTATTACATTCAATTTTTCCTAATGACAATAATTGTTACTATTTTTATTTACTTCCGTTTAGGGTCTGGTTACTTAGTTATACTTCATTTACTTCGTTTATATAGTTCTTAATATTTCTATGTACTTTCTATTCACACTGTTTATAATTTTTATCTGAATATCACGCAATTTCCAAATTTGTCAATATCCTTTTTGTATCTTGTTCGTTCAAGCCCTGAAGAAGACCTGCAAAGTTGGGTCAAAATGTTGGCTTGAAATAAAATATTTTTTTACTATTTTAATCTTTTTATGACTGCCACCCCAAACCACCTCCTCCCTCTAAAATTGTAATATTTCTATAAAAATACTGTTATAAATATTATCAGTTAACATATGAAAGAAAGTTGGGTTTAAAAGCGTTCAATTCTGTATTTTATCAAGATAATTCACTTAAAATAATTTATTTTTGTAATTGTTTATTTATTTATTTTCATCTAACCACTTATTGTAGAAATAGTATGTCTGTAATAATAAAATACTTTTTTTACTCTTGTTATGACTACCACCCCGGATCATCTCCTGCCTCAATAATATACAATGGTCAACAATCAAGTATACAATATTATAATTTTGACATAACTTTTCAAGTACCTAAACATCATTCTGATGCATTCTCCTGACTTGCATTTGAATCTGGAATCAGGGCATGGACAATCTTTTTCATCCTCTCCAGAAGAACAATCTTCAACTCCATCACATATTTTTGACCTATCAATGCAATGACCACTGTAACAGCGCATCTCTTTTTCTAAACAGTTACGAGTTACACAATAGCTAATATTTTCATCTGAACCATCAGGACAATGTCGGATACCATCACAAGTGAGTACATGAGGAATGCAAGACCCTTCTGAACAAGTAAATTGTTTAGGAGAACAATCCATTGTGATGTTGATGCAGCGTTTGCCATCCACCAGGATTCTTCCTGAAATGTAAGAGATAAAAATGTTATTCCTTATTCAATTCACAAAAATTCAGAGAATTTGAATGATACAGGTGAACCAATAGCAGTAAGATCATAGAGGCAAATACAGCTAAGTATAGACCACTTGATACAGTAATATTTTGAAAATTCTGATTTTGACCATGCGGGTAGCTTAGTAACTAAGGTATTAAAATCTTAAGATGTAAGGCTTGGGCTCAAGTTTGGCTCTGGATTAAAAATTAATTTTATATTATATTTCCTGTGAAACATTTCAAGGTTCATATGACAATCAGTTGAGTCATCATCTATCTGCTTTGAATTCTTTCCAAATTCGTCGTATTATACAATGGAGGAGAGTTATTGAACTGTGTGTTTTGTGATGAAAAAACAATCATGTTTTCAATGATCTTTAATGAAAGGACCAGGAGCTGGTTTTGGAAACAAAATAAATTTTCTAATGTACATCATCAACTTAGACTGCTGTAATGAATTATGAAAAGATATTGAGAATTATTTACACAGTTATTTACTAGATTTGGTCTCATTCATCTGAATTTTGTATTTTTTCAGAAGTTTCAAAATCTCATTAATTACTTTTCCCATTTCCCTAATTAAATGACCTTGAGGAGTATTTTCTTTAATGAGAGAAGTGCACAAATTCATCACATATTTTTGATCTGTCTTTATTTGTTACAATATAGAGATAAAAAGAGTGATTCATACACTGTCATAAGGCAATATTCCTTGCTCACTCAAAGCCGTATTGAACAGTGACCACTTGAAAGAAGAAAGAAAGGAAGAAAAGTAAATTTTAAACTGGCACACTAAGTTCCCTAAGAATAACTACCATGAACAATGGAATGACAATTGTCTGGCATTAGAAACAATTAAGAATAAATTAAATTACAAAGTTATCTAAATCTAAAATTAAATGAAGAAATGAAGAAAAGGCACTAGTAGACATAAGAAATTATAGATAAATACACATGTGCAAGTTCACATATTTGTACACATAAACAATATGGATGATACATAATTATCTGCAAGATAACCTTTAATGCGGCTAACAGTTCTTAAAAAACGTAAACATTATTTTTAAATATATTCCAAAGATTGATTGCTGAGGAAAAATAAATGATGTTTAAATGAGGTCAAGAGTGAGGATTTGCATAATAAGGTTGGTAGAGAATTCCAAAACAAGGAAGCTCGTATGAAAAAGGATTTTTTAAAGGAAACAGTTCTATGAGAAGGAATAAACAGGTTTGAGGGCTGGGATCTCGTATTAAACGAATTGACAGAGGAACAAGTCGAGAAGCTAAGATAACTGAATTTTTAATAGTTAGTAAAGCTTCATTTTTTAATTAATTATTTCTTGAGGTTTTGGATGAAACCTTGTGTATAATATATTACTGAGAAACAAAATTAACAAACCTTCAAAAGCATGACTGATAAATATCATTTCATTTAATAGTAATACAAATCACAAAAATTTTACAAACGTTACAATACGACAATATTTAACACGGAATCTTCATCCCTTTCTGGAAGATTAACCCCAAGTTTAGGCCTAGTTACCATTTAGGTCATCCTTGCTCTTCCTATCAATGCCTCTTTAAAAAAAAGATTAATAACAAAGGCAGAACCACTTTAAAGAGGGAAGATTTTTGAAACCTGAAAACATACTTGAGGATCACCAAAACAGATGGATGATGATTGAGCTAAAATTGAATGAAAGAGTATAAATAAAAATATACTGTAATTTATTGAACCACTTAGGGAGCCATATACATCATATTTTGTTTTATGTCAACATCAGGGAAAAGAGGTAGTTATAGTGTAGCAAACTATTGGATTGTCCAGAAAAAAATGTAGGATTTTGAGTTATCTTTAAAATACCTCCCTATATAACAAACTGTTTATGTTTACTGGATTATTTATTTGTATGAATATCAACACTTATTAATCCTCTTCTAAATGATAATGTCTGTTTACCTCAGTAGCATTTCCCTGCTTAAAAATAATTCATTCTTTACTAAGATGACAACTTGTGATTTTCGTATAATTTTGTTTTACAAGTTTAAACAAGGCCAGAAACATCAATCAAGTCTGGGACCAGAGCAGCATTAATAAGTGTACTGTTCAACCGTAGTTCAAAAAATTTTGGGAGGGAGACTTCAGCCTTGAAGAAAAAGAAAGTCGTGGAAGGACTTCCTCTCTTTATGAAGATGTTCTGCAGACTTTTGTGGAAGAAAACCACAGAACAACTGTTCGAGAACTTGCAGAAAAACTTAACCTGAGTAAATCGATCACCAATGACCACCTCAAGACGATTTGAAAGATAAAAAAGCTTGAAAGTTGGTTTCACACAAATTAAACGACTGCCAAAAATCCAGCATTATGAAGTTTGTGCTACACTTCTTTGCCAAAACAAAAATGACCCTTTTCTGCAAAGAATCATTACTTGTGATAAAAAGTGCATACTTTATGATAACAGTAGACGTTCTGGACAGTGGCTCGACAAAGGAGAAGCAGTAGAACATTTTCCAAAGTCCCCAACTCATCAAAAAAAGGTGATGGTTACTGTTTGGTGGGCTTCATTTGGTTTGATACACTATAGCTTCTTCATTCCTGGAGAAGTTATCAAAGCTGAATTGTATTGTGACCAAATTAATGCAATGCATCAGAAATTGGCAATAATGAAGCCATATTTGATCAATCAGAAGAGCCCATTTTGTTGCATGACAACGCCTAGCCACATGTCTCACTTTTGATGCCACTAAAACTGTTGCAGCGTGGATATGAAACTCTGTCACATCTGCCCAACTCCCCAGACAACTATAGATTATAATTTTTTTAGACACCTGAACCACTACTTACATAACAAAAAATTTAATCGACAAATGGAGTTAGAAAATGCGTTTTTGGAGTTTCCCATCTTTAGTGGAGTTTATCAATTCTAAAGATGGGAAATTCTATTCTGCGGGAATTAACTTTAAGTAAGACTAAATGGAATTAATTATAATATATTTTGTAATTATTTTTATTTTAAAAATTATTTACTTTCAGGAGGAACTATTTAAAACCCTATTATCAAAATTAATTTATTAAATTGTCATACACAAAAACATCTGGTAATGTCCCAATCTCTTTCCCCATTTTCAAGTCCAAAATAAATATGTTTAAATACATAACCAATATTATTAATATATAAAACTTTCATCAAGACAGCACCAAAAAATTTGTTTAAAAATCATTATTAACAAACCTCTTTCATAATCATATTTTGTCTAACTTGAACAAACTTAGAATAAGTTAAAAACATCCCCAATTAATTTTTTTTAAGTTCATATCACCTATCACTAATATTTGTAATTTCAAGAAAAATAAATTAAGAATTTCTTCTTCTTGATCTGTTAGGTGATTAGTACACGGCCGTGATAAGTGTGCTTGTAGTAGAATATAAACAAATTGAAATGGATTCAATATTATGTTTATCAAAAATAATATTTTTAGAAAAGTTAATATTAAGAAGAACGAGAAGAAGAAGAAAATTAAATTTTATTCAAAGACATTTAGTCCCCTAAGAATAATAATAATGAACAATAGAAGAGTCATATTAGTCTAGTTTAAAATGACAAGAAATAATTAAACTGCTGAGTGATGTAACCTTAGAATTAATATAAAGGATGAGCATAAGTAAACTAATAAAATTATAGGTAAATAAATATAAGTTTGTTTATATAATTGTACTGATAAGCAACCTACATAACATATAGATAACTATGAAATAACAATAAAATGGGACTGCGAACATTTCAATACACAAATTTAATTTTGATATATATTCGGAAGATTGATTGCTGAGGAGATGGAAGAATAATTGGTGCTTAAAAGAGTTTTATGAAAAGGAATATACAGGTTTGTGGACTGGGATTTCGTGTTAAGAGAATGAACAGAGGAACAAGGAATAATTTTATATGAAGAAGGTAACTAGGATTTTCGCTTGTTAAGGTTTGGAAAAGGAATACACCTAGGTAAACTGGATAGAGCCACTTCAACTCTTAATGAAACAATTCATTAGTCTCTTCAAACTGATCTCAAGCCCACCAGACAATCCACCGTAGGAGAGGCAGCCATAATCGAAGTGAAGTCTAATATTATCTTGCATACAGTGAGGATCTTACGTAGAGTTAGTAGCTTCGAGGACAGATAAGATATTCATTTTATTTTATAAATATTCATTTCTTTAATTTTTCAAAATAAGCTTATTCGACTAGTTAAGATATATTATTGTATAATTTGATAGAGTTTTTTTTTCATGTTTGTTTTAACTATACTAGTTAGAAAAGAAAATGCTAGATTCTAGTGATGGTCGAGATGATATTCCTCCGGAAAAAACACATAGTTTAAATATTAATTAATCACAAAGTCAACCTGAAAATTTAAATTGGACTGAAATAGAAATGTTGTCAGCTGAAAATGATAAATCTAATATAATTCCAGTAGACAAAGGTTCAGAAAACAAAATAACTAAAAAACAATTAATCTAAATAATCCACCCATTTATTTGAAGAAAGAGATTTAGGACCTTATTTTGTATTTATTGAGAGTAGATTGGGCTGGGATGATCTGTATTCACCCTATGTCCATAAGAAAATTATTGAAGAATTCAAGCCTAGAAATATATAATAACATTTTGTCAATCAATAGATCAACAGAATTAAAGTAGAAACCAGGTTAGGAGTATGTGCAAACACTCTGGTTACGTTGGAATTATTAAAATAAAATTTATTTTTCAATGACACAAAACAATAAAAATTAAACCAACAGATACAGTTTTACTCAATTTCTCCCAAACTATATTAGTATTAACCATGTTAGATGAGAGGTACACCAAAGAATTGAGGAGAAAACATGGAGGGACTGTGTGCGGAATGAGAAGATTAGTGAAGAACTTAATGTATGCCCAATAACAGAAATCCTGGAGCAGAGGCAACTGA